TATGTTACTCAAAAATGATTTACTTTTTCTTCCTTCTGGTGGGCAGCTGAAGACTGTGCAGCTTGCTCAAGTTCATACAGATGGCTCTTCTGGCACTCAAGGCAGGGAATTGAACTCCCAACCTCTATCTAACTCTCTGAGCTTATAATACAGTGGGGAACTGGGTTCCCAATCTCCGACTTTATAGCCAGATGCTCCAACAGTGTTTTAAAAATTAATTTGTAGGGGAGAGGCTCATCATGTGATAAAATTGCTCCCTAAATCCACGTAGAAGGTGCAAGATTTTCTGTGCTGTTCGGAACAGCATTTGGCCCCTGGGAGCCACATGGAGCTTCATATTTTCCACCCCTGGGAAAAATTGATGGAAAATACAGTATTTTTCATTATTTTATTATGATAGTTTTATTTGTTTGTTTGTTTGTTTTATTTAGCTTATATGCCGCCCACACTACCCAAAGGTCTTTGGGCAGCTTACAACATTTAAAATACAATAAAAAGTCAAAACAATTAAAATGCAATTAAAACATATACTCTAAAATTGTTTTGATTATTTCTAAAATTGTTTTAATTATTTCTATGCCACTTGAAGGAGAAATGGGAAATCATTAAAGCAACCATACACTGGTTTAGACCTACCTGAACGCTAGCAATGATACTCATTCCAATACAACCCAGGATTCCAAAACATAGTGCCAGTAAATTGAAACAAGAGGAATTAAAATGTGTCATTTCATTTTGCTTCTTTAACATCAAATATTTCATGATCATTGTAATTGCACCTGGAAAAGAGAGTTTGAGGGAGAAACAAAAACGAAAATTAATCACAAACCATTGGGCACAGAATAGAGTGAGTACACACACACACACACACACACACACACACACACACAAAAGTAATGAATATGCTGTATAATGAGAGAGAGATGTTCCTTTAGATTTCCCTATTAATGGCCTGCAGGGTACTTCAAAATAGATCACCACAGGGCCATCCAGATATAGTCAGATTGCAACTCTAACATGACTTAGTCAGGAGAGTCAAAACTGATGAACCGTAAGAGTTGCAGTCCAACATCTCTCCATCCCATTTTTTTCTAGCTCATGAAGCTTCAGGTGGCATGGCAACGTACCTCTGTGACTGACCTAGGCAGGAGGTTTGTGTTGGGGGGAGGGGGGAGAGATTAAACTGAAATAAACAAGGCCTGTTTGGTGAGTTGTAAAATATCTTCTAGTATCAGCTAACAAGAGATGACGGCCAGCAGTTAGTGGGTGGTGCATTCTTTTTTTCAGTTTTTTTTCCTAGACGTGCTTTATTCATCTACACATCACACCTAATCCCAGGAACTTTTAAAACAAAATTGGACCTTCATTTAATATATGTTCACTGCAGTTCATAGTTTTAATCTCTTACTCTGATAAAAGAGTATTTCAGAAAAAGGTATTGATTGATCATAATCCCTCCCCACCACATTTCCTCTTCAGAGAGTACATTGTACATCTCCTACGCCCTACAGTCTTCATTGTGAACAGCTCTTGGAGATTCCTTACAGAAAGCCTGCTCACTTCCCCTTTTAAGTTTCTCTAGTGATACCAGAAACATCCCTGAATGAAAATGAAACATATGTAGTCAGTGTGACATCAGATTGAGGGTGGAAGAATTCTTAACTGTTCTTAACTGTTCCAAAATACATGCCAGTTTTGTACGCAACCATTTTTACCCAACTTGAGCTGACTAGAAAATTCAATCAATAAAAGCATCTGAACAAATAGATACATACCTAGGACTGCAGAAATGGCAATCATAATTCCAAAGATAATACTTTCTGGAGGATTTGCTCCTGTATCACTGAAATAAATAAAAACAAAAATATATTTTGAGTATTAAAAGAATAAATTTAATAATTACAATTCAATTTGCTCTATTCTCAATGGAAAGGCTGATGTACATTGTACTATGTAAAAATCATACCCTTTTTAAAAAAAACAGCAGGATCTTGTTATGCAGCTCAACAGAAATATTAGCAACCCATATGAAGTGGCAAATACCACTAAAATCAATGAAAAATTGTCCAAAGAATAAAAATGTATGAGTTATTCTGGACCAGAACAAAAGCACAGCAGCCAACATCCTGCCTACAGAAAATCCGCCAGAAAGATATGTGCGCAACTGTGTCCTCTGGCTGAAATCCTGTTGTACTGTTACACAGCCAGAAAATGAAATGGGTAGCATCCACGTACTGTATTCCTAGCTGATAATTCAGGGAGTCTCCTTTGAGATTCTCAAGAGTGCACCAAACCAAAGGGTGCGCACACACTCAAGAATCCCAGCAGTGACTGCTGGATAGAAATGAGTGAATGCCTGCCTTCCCATTGTGTAACAAAGCAACAAGATTTCAGCCTCTGACTCATATTTACAAGAATGTGGACCAATTACGCCCATGATAAATGTCATGATGGACTGAAAATTTGGAAGACGCCAAAGAAAGAAAATAATTTAACAAAATTCTAGACTTCTGAACATACTTCAAATATCCACATTCTTTCTTGGAGAAAATGAAATGCACATTGTACAAAATTACTTACAGAAAAAGATTCCCTAAAGCGGGCGGGCAGTCAACTGAAACAATAATCTGCTTCACTATTTGCATACCCAGCTATTCCATATTCAGTTCTTACACTCAGTTTATCACCAATACTAATACAAACTACTATACTGACATAATATCTACATTTCTGTCACCATGGCTGCTGGGGGTCTAAAACATGCACAAAACTTTTCCTATATATTTTCCCAGCTAAGAAAATAGCACATGTTTTGCAGAAAATGGGTGCTGGGGCAGGGAAACCTCTCCTTCAAAACATTGTAAAGAGATTGAAAATATAACATTACTGTATCTTCGCACATCCAGTTTGCATTTGGATTTTAAGTAGTAAACAAGTCAGTAACTCTAACAGTATCAGATTTCGTTTTGTTAATAACAATGAGCATATTTTCTTTTGTATTATGTCCAAGCAGTACTCTGTACATCAGTTGCTAAGACGCATGAGCACAAAAGTGCTGTTGCATTCACATTCTATTTGTGGGCATGATATATGCAACTGGTTGGCTTATAGGCCAACTGAACACTAGAATTCATAGGCCCTTTTTCTAATCTAACAGAACTCTTCTTATATTGTTCATTTTCTTAATTATGCATAACCACACCTTTTAATAGATACCAATATAGATATATGTTCATTCATTCGTTTATCCAATATCTACACTGTTAATTATTATTATTTTATTTTGGCTAAAATATCCAGAATTATCTCTGGGGGAATTGTTGCAGATTTTCAGAAACTTTACTCCAACATAAAAGTCCCATGGCTGCTGAGTTTTGAAGCAGGTTCATTGAATGGGACAGCAGATGAGAGAAATGCTAACACCTCTGCACACATTAATGTTGTTTTCAAAAAACATCCCCCAAAGGTTAGATATGACCAAAACAAGGAGAAAGCAGTTTTTAGGGGTAATTCATTTATTATCCCTGATAAATACTGAAAGTTGAAATATGGGGGATTGCTGACAAGTTTGTTTTGAGATCTTGAGAACTGGAAACATTAAAATAATTCCAAAACAAATATAACATATTTACCATAAATTTTTTTGCAATCAATAGGAGTTGTTTCTAAATGAAGTAAACTTGGACTGGGCTACGAAACTGAAGTTCTGTATGCATTTAAGATGACAAAAAGTGGAAGAGAGATTGCTTTTCATGAGACTCCTGTATAACCCACACCATCATTGGTATATGAAACCCAGAGGTAAAAAGCATCCATTAGAGTCCAGCTTGCAGATATTCAGCAACAAAAAAGGCCGCTGTTCAGCTAGATAGCTGATTCTATTCTTAAACTTCTCTCACTTAACCGGGAATAAATATCACTCTAATCAATGGGAATTCAGAAAACACACACATAAAAAACAGGCTATTAACATTTGGCTACAGTGTGCAATACTTCCTAGATACACATGGAATGTATACACTTCTTTTCTGATGTTATGTCCGATTAAGCTTAATGTGACTTATTCTCCCATAAACAGCTGTAGGATTGCAGTCTCAGTGCTTAACCGATTTTGAGAAGACTGCAGTATTCATCCTGGCTAGCCTTTCCATTGATTAGAAGGGCAATCCTAAACCCACTTAATGAAAAGTCTAAATCCCACTGAAACTCCAAGTCAAGAATTAAAATATCCAGGAAGAAAGAGTCTAACTTTGCCCTTCCCATGCTGTGCTACTTAATCTGCTTAGGTCTTTCCACCCACGCCTTCACCAGGCTCACCTTATATATGGGAAGAAAGGCTCTACATGGCCATCAAGGACTGCAATGACGTATGAAATTATGAAGGCTGCCAAAGTCCAGAAGACCAGCAACAGCGGCACCAAGGCCTCTCCTCGCAGGGAGCAGGCCATCCTGTGCCACCAGCGCCTCTGCCTCTGGATCAACAACAGCTGCATGGAGGCAACAGGGACCAGGGGGGCTGGGTTAGCACCCACTGCAGTGAAGTCACAAAGCTCCTGAGGTCACAAACCTTGACTTTCAGGGGGGGAGGCTGGTAGCACCCTCACAGGTAGCCCTCAAACCCTCGTCAACAGTGAGCGGAGGAAACGCACGCCGTGGCTTTCACCCCCTTTGCCTCCCCACGGCTCAGTTGACTCCCTTAGGGAAAGGGTTTGGGGAGCGTGGGAGAGAAGCCGTCTAGTTCTC